GTGCCGAGGTGTTGCCCTGATTTAGGACAACATGATTTCCCACAATTGGCAGGGAAAGCAAGAAGTGATCTTCTTTTTTCACCATGATGAGACAATCAAGCAGCTCTTCTTTCATTGCACTTTTGCATGCACTACAAGGCCAGTAATTCAACTTTGTCTAACTATATCCAACGGCAGGGTTGCCATCATGTATGCTCATTATTGTATACCATGCAAGTTCAGTTTGCTCATATGGGTGGGAACATAAACCTTGTCATGGTCGCTATGGCTATGTTGAAATATTGGTGTTTAACGATAAAAAATCATCCTCCATGCAGGTTATCTTCCATTGTACACGTTAGATCAATTTGCGGTCTACTCTACAACGGCTGGAGCACCTATCGTCGTCCACGGCAGCCTATATGCAATTGGAGTAGGTGGCCATGGATGTTTCTACCCCATATGGATGATGTCATATGCCAGTCTACGGATAGGCCCTCCATCCTCCATGTCGTATTGCTTAGTTTCCATCTCTTTTAACCTTGCTAGTGAGAATGTTTTATTTTATTATAGATTGTGTGAGTTTGTGTTTGCGATCTACATCTTAGTTATGCATAACGGATGTTCACTCATTACAATAATCACATTTGAACATTATGCTTTGACTAGAAAATTGCCCGTGCGTTGCAATTGGAATATACTATAATCATACAAGCGCAATCCACATTTCAACTGATCTAAGCACAATGAAAATACATTACAAATATATCAATAGTAGACTAAGGGAGCATCAATACATGTGTCAAAGTGCATGCCCTTGAATGGTTGTTTAACAACTCGTTTAAAAATAATAGTTATGAAAAATCTATCCTGGAGTACTGTTCACTATACAAGAGGAGATTACAACATGTAGTCAACTATTAAAACACAACAACTATAAGGACTCTACTCAGCTACAAAAAAAAACTTTAAATAAGTTCAGAGACGAGAGCACCTTGACGAATAACTGTTTTTTCTCGAGTCATCTCTGCCTCACCGCGTACCTCTCCTCTCCCTTTCCCCTTTACACTTTCTCAACTTCGCCTCCTTGCATTCCTCCAAGTACGAACGTAAGAAGATTTTTCTGAGGCGCTTCAACACTGAACCATGAGCTCTTTTGGTTTCTCAGCTACAATTGGTGATCCATCCCCAACCGTAGATCGATCGCCACGTCGGGATAGGATCTAAAGAATATTTATTCAGTGCCACCTTCGCCGCCAACTTAAGCTACTAAAGCCAAAAACAATCCGCACGTGCGGATCCGGTGACCCCCGCTCATCACCGACGGCCGAGATCGTTGGTGGAGGGGAGCCGCCGGAGGGCAGCGGCGGAAGGAAGCGCTCCTAGTGGAGGAACGAGATCGCCTTCTTTGTTCCCCTCGGCAACAGGCAAACAACCGAACAAAATGAACGCCGCTGTACGTTGTTGGTTGCAAACTCCAAAACATCTTGAATACGGACATTGTATATGAAGTGCCGTTCAATTTACAGCCGTGCAGTATGGTCAGCATGCACGTGTATCGATGGAGAGCAACCAAGGAATCAATTGGTTGATCCAAAAGAAGAAAAAAAATGACTAACCCAAATTGTAGACATTTGGTATGAGTAAAGGAAATGCGAGTTTAGATAATGTTTGTTGTAGACATTGGCTTTTTTTTCGAGACTGACGGGGGGATAAACCCCACCGCTTGTTATATTGCAACTCGAAAGGTGACTGGGTAGTCAGTACAAGTACATGTGAATGCACGAGGTGCAAAGGAAAAAAAACAGACGTGGCACCCAAGACAAGAGCCAAACACTAGAAGAGAGACAAAGACGAAAGGGGAGGATGGATGGAGAAGCCAATCCGAACCCCGCAGTAACTGACACCTAAAGCCCAAGACCAGACAAGCAGCTCAACTGAGACCCTCATCTCCCATGTACACAAACACCACCTGAAGGGCAAGGGAGAAAAAGTAGGCACCATAGCAAAGCTCACAGAGGAACGTCGTTGGTAACTCGGCCTCAGAAACTCCTTAACTCAGCCTCAGAAACTTCCGCATATGTTTTGTGTTGAGTTGAGGTCCATGCTTGAAGATGCAATTTCGTACTGTGCAAGGGCTATTTCACTATGCAACTTGCATACAAGGTGGCTGAAAAGTTCAGATACACATACGCAGAAGCTGGAACATGCTCTGCAAGCTTTGTCTGTTGGTAATGATGCATCTTTTGCTCAAGGAGGCTCTGAAAAATCTGCTCGAGAAAGTGAGATATAGTTCCTTAATCGCATATCGGATGAACTCATGGAGAAGGTAATGAAGTAGCATATGATGCATCTTAACAGCTTGGTCTTTCTCATCAATCTAGTGCTCTGTGACAAAGAACACGATTTTTCCTTGATTATAAGCAAAAATAATGACATGTCTGAATTTTCTATATACAGCTTGTAGAACTGGTGCAAGTGATGAGAACCACGAGCTCCATCGTTGATGGGACTGTGAAGGGAGAGTTGCCACGCAGGCATGTTAGTGGAAACTTGCCGAGCCAAGAGCTGCAACTATATTGATCGACTGCGGCCGCTGTTTCGCCATCCGTGAGAGGTGCGATGGCACCTAATAGAAGTCGTCAAATTGCTATCATCTTATAAGTAGCTGGTTTGTTCCTGCTCTAGTGACAAAAGTATAGATAAGTACTCCTGTACGTTGAGTGTACTTTGAATTCTGTGGCTTTGTACCTGTTGTATGATGTTTCTCTATTGCCATGGTGGTCTGCGTTTTGATGTATACATGTGTTGTGGCAGATATGTCAAAGAGGTGCACAAATTCAACATATTGATTTTGAGTTCTAGGGGAACCCGTTGTCACTTCTCCCTGAGTTTTCCACTGATCTCTCTGTCTCAAGCAACCCGATCTCAATGGTAGACATAATTACTTGATGCGGGTTGCTCAAAAAAATAATTACTTATGCGTTATCATTGATTGAGATCGTCCTAAAAAGTTAAGCACTAGGAGTTGCTTTCGGATTCTGATTTTGAAGAGAAGAAATGCTAGCATAGACATGCGGCCTGACAAGTTTCACGTCCTCAAACTCACCGTGTAAACAATCAAGAATGTAAACAGAAAACAATTTCACACGACCATGGATCCTAAATAGGCAAAGTATTGATGAGAAACACAACCTCAGATTTCAGACCCATGAGAACATTGCAGAAGAAAAATATATACATAACTGAAAGTGAATACTACTGGTTGGCGGCTTCTTTACATGCATGCTTTTACTTTCTCACTCTCTGGTTTACAAGGTAAATTATGCGAGACGAAATTTTAGTTGTGTTGTCTGTTATTATTACGAAATGGTCATGGCTGACAATAGTAAAATTAACTACAACCAAGATCTAAGCTAGAGCAAAAAGATGTGTACTCTTGTCAATGCCACATGACGGATGATCCTTCTAGTTAATCCAATTCGTAACTGACATATATTGAGTGTCGTTGCTGGCCTGCTTCTGTTTACCTAACTCTTTGTCTATCACGCCTTCAAATACTCCAACAAGTTCACAGTACAGAAAGAGGATTCAGGGCATTATTTATTGGCGGAGATGAAATCCCCCAAATCCAAGTTACAAAAATGAAATCTACCACCTTGCTGGTCGAGAGTCTTACCTGCATCTATGCACTTACCGTCAAGGGGATCATAGACTTTCAGTCTCGTTGTTGTTTTTGTTTGAGTACATAAGCAGTAAAACAATAACTTGCCATCCTGCATCACCGTCAATGGCATGGGAATATATTTGTGTAGAAATGCCATTGGGATAGTGTATGCTTTGCCCCAGTCCCAGTTGCTCTTGCCGGAGTTGTTCAGGCTCCATATGTGGGCGTATCCATGAGCAATGCTCAACTTTTCTGATTGAACCAGGCATAACGTGCCGGTGAGCTCGCCTATCTGGTCGAACCACCCCATCCGAAAACCCACCTTCGGGGGGCCTTTGATCACCTTGTTCCACTCCTCGCTCGCAAGGTCAAAGCAGATAACCATGTCTGTGTTTTCACCTGTTGATTGTGTTGATGATGCTAGAGCATATAATACGCCATCAATCACCACCGGACGGCAAAACTGGTTGACACAAAGTGGGGGTGGCTGTGTCATCCTCCACCCCGCGCCATCTTCTAAAGTGAGGATTTCACAAGTCTTATATCGGAGGCAAACCACCTTGTGCGCACCCGACAGGGTGGTGGGACTGGGACCACATACGAGGACTGTAGACCTTATCGTCGTTGGACCCGACAGGCAGGCGAAGACCACGATCTTCCCCGTGGCAAGGTCCATCAATTTGGCATCACCGTCCTAGTCGTTGATCGTGAATACAAGACCGTTGCTGCTCGGGAGAACACGGGAAAACTGATCTGTCATGAGCTCCCTTACGACGTTTCCACCCATGTCCACCAGCTGCACACGCTGGTTGTGGCAGGTGAGTGCGACGACTTATTTATTGTGAGATCACTCACTTTCGTTAGCAGCCAGCAAACTTTCGGGTCATACGGGGAGGAGGAGGAGGGTGCGCCGTTTGTGCTCCTTGCAGCGGGTGGCAGAATCATCGGCTTCCAAGGGCGCTTTAGTTTGTACCTAAATGCGCTTGGAACCTACATCAAGATGGACACCTAACATATGTTAAGATGGACTTGCTTGGCACCTGCAAGATGGGCATCAAGGCCATCGGGTCAGGGCATCAAGATCAAGGCCATCGGATGATGGGACGTAGAATTCAAAAACCAATAACACCTTGTCGGGGATGGTTTATTTGGCGATCTGCAAAAGCAGCCCCCAATAACCAGATATTTTTTGTTTGGACAGCCAAATAACACCTTATTGGGGATTGTTTATTGGAGAACTGGTGGAGCTGCAAAACATGAACAAACATATCTTCACACATCTTGAAACAAAAATCTTACGCACACATCAAATTGAGAAAACATATAAATCATCATACTCCTTGCAGTCATAGCCTTAGTCTTCGTCATAGTCCTCCCTCTCTATTGTGATGGTGGCCACGATATCGGTTTCTTTACGAGGCACGATACACAAGCATTCCGTTGGTACCCCATCGGGCCCCATTTCCCACTTTGACTCCTGATTATGTCCTGGTGCGCACGAGAAACCCACGGTGATTCGGACATTTCCTCCCGGAGTTTCTGGCTGCACGCAGACGAGTGAGACGCCATGGCCGTAGGACTCCAGCGCCTCCATCTTGAGCAGGAAGAGGCGGTTGTATTTGGTTTTGAGAACTCGGGAGCCCGGCTGCACCGGGACTTGGAAAGGCTGGAATAACTCCATCGGTGTTGTTGGCAACGTGTGCACAGTGGCAAGATGGTCCAGGAGCACCGTGGTTGACGCGACGAAGCCACAGCCGGAGACCGGGCACAAGCACGGGCCGCAAGGGCACTGCCTCTCATGCTTTTCCTTCTGGTAGTAAGCGATTGTCGTGGAGCATCCGTGCTTGCAGGAAACGAAGATGTTGTCGACGACACGCTCCATGATGTAGCTGCGCTGGACGCCGATCCCTTCTAATAACGGAAGCCTCTCCTGGCAATCCCCGCAGATGGAGTTTCCCTTGGAACACTGCAATGTATAGAGAGGCAGAAAAGTGTTTAAGCTTCTTCTTAATCGGATGTTGACATGTAGGTTGTCCAACCAGTGAATTGAATCACGTAGTGCATACCTGGAAAATGGGAGGCCTGAGGGGCTTGGAGCAGACGGTGCAGTCGAATATCTCCATCACCGTGCTCACATTCTGCCTCTTGCAACCGCTCGTTCTTCCCTGCAGCTGCTCGCCATCTCCTTTCCTCTTATTGGAGTTGCTTGTATCCTCCATCGGCGCCTGCTGTACTTCACCCAAAGAAGAGATACTGTACTGGCAACGTCAATCCCCAATATATATAGAGAGTTACGTAGAGTAGTCGCTGTAACTAGGGATAGTAGTTACTCCGGAAGTTGGATGGGCCTTTTGTTTCGACTTCCAATAGATATTAACTCACCAACATTACCGAGGAAGCAGCTACATTTGTTCTCGATCACTGTTCCTAGCAAACAAGAATTTAATTTTGAAAACCAGCAAAGCATGGATGCACGCATGCAATTGATACGGGCTGCTGCTACCTCGTTGGATAGGTGTACACGCCACAACGAAGAGATGAAGCTGCATATAACGAAGAGCATTGAGATGCACATGATCCACAGTGGACGATTTGTGCCCGACACAACATATCAGTGCGTCCATGCGAATCATGAAAGCCGAGAAGACGGCTGGATTAGCATCGTGCAACCAGTTTATCATCCGCAGAGCAGTTTCTATGATTAACCATGAGCATTAAGACGGTGTCTTCAGGAAGGTTATGACAACGGAAGGCCATTAGGCCCGCCAACACCCAATCCAAAAATCAAAATTTTCCCTAAAGCAACACGACATGTAATGACAATCTTAACGACGCCTTTAAGAAGGGATGAACGTCACCGCCGCCAATCTGCCCAGAGAAAGAACAAGTTTTCACCCTGTCCAACACTTGTTGAAATATGGAATGGGCTTTAGGCCCATCTAACAATTTCTGAAAATCTCTAAGGGCCCATGTGGGTTTAATTGGCACTATGTGTAGTGGAAAGTTTAGTCCAAACCCGCTAGTGGAGAAGGAGTTGGACCTCCTTATAAGTGGTTGTTTGGATGAAGAGATTAGATGAGAGATTTGGGAAAGCGTGTTTTTAGGATGATTTTTAGCAAAACCGGTTTTCACCACTTTTTCGGTTAAGATAAGTATATACAGTTCCTTGTTTGGATGAGAAAAATAGGATACCCTGTTATGTTTTTTTTACCTCGCGTCTCTTCTCAAGGCCACGGACTCGCATGCTTTTTCACGTCCATGGCGTCTTGCTCCTCCGCATGATGCGTGCACACGCTCTGTTGTTAAGCTCGAATGGGGTGTGTCGTTGGGCATGGCCCCTCAAATCCCTCCATTATTTTATCCACCCCGACAATAGCAAGGCCATGTGGAATCGGACGACAATGGAAAGTTCCCTCAGCTTGAGGAGGTAAGACAGAGCCGACCGCCACCTTCAAGGTCAGGTTACGGTATTTCTCCATTAGCACACAATGTTCATTCTCCGTGACACTATCCACGGGGTAGCAAGGAGCCGTGATATCAGGCTGAACAAGCTCCGTGGAAGCCACACCGCTTCTCTGCTGAGATAGTGGGGTAGCTTCGGGGGCAGTGTCGAATGAAGGATCTTCGTGCCACTGAGATGGTTGGCCGGTAGCTCGCTGGCTCTCAAGTTCCTCTAGTTTCGCTAATCTTGCATTGATCTTCCGCATTTCACTTGCTTCCTCTTTCTTCTTTCTCTCTCGGCTTCTATAACCACCGCTGTCGGGGAAACCCATGCACCCACGGAACGGAACCTGATGTGCCCCGTGTTCGTCCAGTGTGTTCAGAATTCCAGAGGGCCAATGGAGGCAGATACCAAAACCATGGCACTATATAATAATAAAAAAAGTAAGAAAATTATACAAGTATCTATCTAAATCATACAAGTAAGTATTTTTTTTCTTTTAGAAAGAAGATAAGAACAAGAGGCTCACCACGGTGGTGCCGGCGGCGAGATCGGCGTGGGCGATCGACGATGGTGAGGACGGGGACGGGGACGACACCCTACACATGTGCAGACTCTAAGAAGTTAATAGCAGCACAAATTGTGCATCTAAATCAAAAGAATTCCCACACACACTCCTCCACTAAAATCCACAAACCACTCTACTTCTAGAGCATTTGAAATGAGCTAAACTAGAAGTGAGAGATGAAACGATGGAGTTGCTAACCTTTTAGAACACTTGTCTAGTTGGTGCACCGCCAAACCTACACCAATCTTGAGGAAAATGTAGCTTGGAGGTCGAGCTTGGAGAGGAGAAAGCTTAAGTGTGGCTCTGGCATTTCATCGAACACCTCATATGCATAGGAGGTGAGAACAGAGAGCAGCACACCTCCCACACGCCGGCTGACCAAAAAATAGAGGAGTGAGCAGGCATGGGCAAGCATATATATAGGCATCTCTTTAGTCCCGGTTGGTGGCTAGAACCGGGACAGAAGACTGACCTTTAGTCCTTGTTCCAGCTACCAACCGGGACTATAGGGGTTGCGCAAGGAGCGAGGCCCTTTAGTCCCGGTTCGTGTCTGGAACCGGGACTAAAGGGGCCAGATGAACCGAGACCGGTACCTGCCGAGGCCCGGCCAGCGCCCTAGCCTCATGAACCAGGACTGATGCACCCATTGGCCCCGGTCCGTAAGAGAACCGGGATTAATGCTCTTAACTGTCCAGGAAGAAAGCCCTGTTTTCTACTAGTGCTATTCAGTCCACACATAAAATCAGAAAAAATGAAACAAAATATAGCAGGAAGACTGACGCGGGAGGGGGGCGGGGGGAGGGGGATGGAAGAGGGAGGAAGGAGGGCCAATGCCGGAGGAAGGAGGGTTGGTGCAGGAGGAAGGAGGATGACGTGAAATGGTGGAAGGAGGAGATATGGAAGGAGCTACGTTGCAGGAAGGCCGACACATCGTAATGCTACAGCTGGGGGTTTGTTTGAGGGCAGTCGAACAAAGTAGGAGCCTGCTCGAGGGGTGGTAGGATGTGAAACGATTGAGCTTTGGGCAGGCAGGATATGAAATCATCTCTTATCTGAGAAGCCATCTCTACATGCAATCCAACACATAGTCACATATCTTATTAAAAGTGGGATGTACTATTATCAAGATGAAACATATATAGGTAAGATACAATTTATTGGGTTAGTTGAGTCCAAGTGTCTGCGTGCCTTTAGATACTGCACTATAAGAATATGTTCTCGGAGTGTCCTAGACCAAAGCTATTAGCCCAAGTAAATTGCCGACCTTGAAGAAAGTAAACTGCCGACCTAGGCGAACAATTTCTCTTAGGTGCATGCTTTCAATTAATGATTGCATTGAAGATAAAAGCCACCTAGGATCATACTTATTATGTACTTTTCATCATGTGAGTGGATAATGTTAAAATCTCCACCCACCAACATGTTCAAGATTCTGCACGACATATCAGAACAAGCTCCAGAAGGGAAGCATGCCTTAGCTTTGGTTGGGCGGCCCCTTAGACTACGAGGCAATTGTAAAATCAAGGCCGCCAGAAAGGTGATGCCAAAAACGAAGCTCAAAATTGGGCGCTATCTGGTTTCTGAATGCCTTAGCAAACGATGTAAGTTTATTATGAGTTAATAAAGCAGCCATGAAGGCCTTCCCCTCAAAAAGAAAGTTAGACAAGGTATAACTTATGGTCTGCCATTAATGGTGCTTTGCCAAGTCACGAAGACCCTTGTTATCCCAAAACACACCTTTTATTTGTGGAACATTTTTTAAACTAATTCCTCCAACTACAATAGATGATCAGAATTCCGTATACCTACGCTTGTGAGTTACCTTAACCGGGGAAACCGAATGGTCCATCTACCGTTCGATAGCTCCTCCTCGTTAGGAGTCAGATCCTCACGCAGATGCTGAATAGAAGGAATTGAAAACCCTCATGCCCGTCATCCTGAGTGTTTGCCATCGACACCATTTTATGTAAAAAAAAGGCTCTATTAGTTTCAGAGCCTTCGCCTCCGAGTGCTTGGTCCATTTGTATCACTAGCTTATTTATTCGTGGTTATATCACTTGCTTGCTCATTATATACGGGGGCACACATACTTGGAAATTTAGAGAAATTAATTCTCTGCAATTCCCTAAATCTGGAACAAAACTATTAGAATTTTCTTTTGGTGAAGGTGGCTACGGAACAACGGGTACGAAGGGGGAGAAATCAGCTGATTAGAATGTTTTCTGACAACTCACATAATAGCTTAATACAATAAAAATTCTTTCTACTTTGGTTTTCTCTACCTATTGACAAGAATAGCTTAATACAATAAGATATGATATATATTTATCTATTCCATTCGATGGAACGTCTAATCCATTGCGCAGGAGCAGAAATTTTATCAACGCCACAACTGATAGATTTTTAGCTAAATATTTATAATACCAACTTCTAGATTTTGAACTATATATTCATAATATCAATGAGTGTGAAACTGACTGGTAACGTGGTCACATTATTAAACCCATTAAGCGTCGCCGTAAGGGTGGCCAACCAGCTACACCATGTGGCGCAAACTGGTTGGCCACAGTGAGAAGGCTTTTCGGAAAAAATAGATGGAGGTGAGGAATTTTTTAAAATACTCTTTTGCCTTTTTAGATGGAGGTGAGGACATGTATTCTTTTTTAAACGGTGTCCCTCGCTGGTAGGCCGCGGTGGTAATTTCTTTTTTTACTTTTTTTTTAAGATGGAGGTGAGGACTTTTTTTCTGAGATATTTTTTTAGATGGTGGCGAGGACCCCATGTACTTCTTTAAATGAAAAGTGCGCACAACTTTCTCATAAGCGGTGCCACAGGGTGGCATCCAAACCACTAGTAATGATACAACCTCATAACAATACTGAAAAACAACTCAAGCGTAAATGTAATTCTATGTATGGGTTTATTATCATCGCTAATATGATATTTTTTAGAATGTCGTAATAATCATCCCCAAAATGAAAATGCATAAAAGGGTTTTCCATCTTGAAGGTGCTATTTTATTTGCTATAGAACAATATTGTTTACTATCACATAATGTGGACACGCATAAAACCATGAATTTAAACAAACTAAAGAGTAGTACTACTAGTACTAATGAAAAGATAGCTCAGCTAGATATTATTTTTGTGGTGTTTCTTAGATATCCGTTTCAGCTCCACAAGTTATATACTTCCTTCGTTCCCAAATAATTGTCTTTCTAGCCATCTCACATGAACTACAACAAACGGATGTATGTAGACATGTTTTAGAGTGTAGATTCACTCATTTTGCTCCGTATGTAGTCACTTGTTGAAATCTCTAGAAAGACAATTATTTCGGAACGGAGGGAGTAGCACAATGTCCACACCAATGATCGGCACGTGCACTCAGCTGCCTAGCTTGTTCCTCGACACGCTAGCGAGTAAACTCACCATGAATCAAGAAATCCTAATGGCCAAGCAATCATCACCGACACAGAGTCAGGAACAACAAGAACATCCTCAGCTGCATGCCACCGTCGCGCAACAAGGCGGTGGCTCGACGCCGTCGGAGTCCAACCACCAGCGCAGGATCACCATGATTCCGCTCGTGTTCCTGATCTATTTCGAGGTGGCAGGCGGCCCGTACGGCTCCGAGCAGGCAGTCCGCGCCGCCGGGCCGCTGTTCACTCTACTGGGCTTCCTCGTGTTCCCCTTGGCGTGGGGCGTCCCGGAATCGCTCGTCACCGCCGAGCTCGCCGCCGCGTTCCCGGGGAACGGCGGCTTCGTCCTCTGGGCAGACCACACCTTCGGCCCGCTGGCGGGCTCGCTCCTCGGCACATGGAAGTACCTCAGCATCGTCATCAACATCGCTGCCTACCCGGCTCTCGTGGCTGACTACCTCGGTGGCGTGGTGCCGGTGGTCGCGAGACCCGGCAGGGCGCGCACGGGCACGGTGGTCGGCATGACGCTTCTCCTCTCCTTGCTGAACTATGCAGGCCTGAGCGTCGTCGGGTGGGGCGCGACCGCACTGGGGATAGCCCCCCTAGCCCCGTTCGTGCTAATGACGGCCATGGCTCTGCCCAAGGTAAGGCCGCGTCGGTGGGCGAAGCAGGTGAAGGGGAGGAAGAAAGGCTGGAGGCTGTTCTTCAACACGCTGTTCTGGAACCTCAACTACTGGGACAGCGCGAGCACCATGGCCGGCGAGGTGGAGCGGCCGGAGCGGACGTTCCCGCGGGCGCTTGCGGCTGCGGTTGTTCTCATTGCCGTCAGCTACCTGCTGCCGCTCATGGCCGCGACCGGCGCTACGGACGCGTCACCGGATGCATGGGTGAACGGCTACTTGGCTGATGCTTACGACCTTACGTACAATTATCGCGATAATTAAGGTACCACGTGGTCACCTGGGAACTGAAATCAGTAAAAGAGGTGTGTCATGATGATGATGATATATATATTTCCTCCGTTCCAAAATCGATGACTCAGCTTTAGTTAGTACAAAGTTGAGTCATTTATTTTGGAACGGAGGAATTAGTACAAAGTTGAGTCATCTATTTTAAAACGGAGGGAGTATATCTCTACTTGACTGACTAATTGTCTGGTGGCAATCTGAGAGACGGTGGGCGGGGTCCTATTCACTCGGTACGGTAGGCCCTATAGTAGACAATAATTGTTGAACAAATTAAGACATCTATAGCATCTTGCCCTCACTGAGAAAGACAGCTCACTGTAGAACATAGAGTGATATTGTTAGTTCTAAAATCTACGACACATCACCATAATGCCTAGGCTATGTTTTCATATTTCATTTTAGCTCCAAAAAAGCTGGGTAGAAATCCAATATATACCTAAATAGTTCATTCCCACAACCACTATTATCTTAACATGCACATATGTCACCTCGTCAAAGATCCACGACAACATACATAAGGAAAAGTTATTCATTATTAGTTGATCTCATGCATAGATCCCACATCATCAAAGGTCCAGTAAGCATGTAGGGAAAATTTCTTCCATTATATTATGCCACTTTATATTCAAAATGTTTTTCTGCTACACAATAATAATAATATACTATAAGATATATTACTGATTTCTAGTTTCAGTTCATATGTTATTAATTCAACTATGGATGTTTTATACAATCAAATTACTGGAATATATTTCAGTTGATTCCGGCAGCAACGCCGGGGTATTCTCTAGTATATCATCATATAAAGCACACCTGATCTGAATACGGTTGGCAAATTAGTGGTGGCTGACAGTGATGGACAAATGATTATATCACAAGTTGGTAAGAAGGAGAATAAAGAATAGTTCAGGCGTCGCATGGAATAATTAGATGGACCGGTGGACTAGGAGATGTAAGAAGATGATAAAGATGGGATTGTGACTTGCCTATGGGCCATGGAACTGCTAGAGCTGCTATAATTGCTATGAAGTGCACATATGAAAAAGGGAGTACCTAGAACTCATCTAGATGAGATATAATTTGGTCTCATTCACTTTGAAAACAAGAACAGATACAACCCGCGTCAGCACACACGCATCTTATAGCATCACATCCAATGGCTGTAAAAGATGAATGAGACCAAATTATATCTCATCTAGATGAGTTCTAGCAAAACTGTATGAAAAACTGGTAAAGCCAACAAAAAGAACAAAATAGACGCAGTTAGCTCAATACTGACGGTCAATACTCAAGAAAAAAGTCATAGGCATACCATGCTTGTGCTACAATCAAGCTAGGTTGAATCTAGCGAGTGCATGTTACAATCGGCCTTTTAAGTTATTTCATAATTTTGTTGTGTCTAAACATGCGTTATCGGGGGACCATGGCTCAAGTACTGGACCGGCGCAGGAGCAGTAATCTCCTCCATTGGCATGTTCGACGCCCAAATGAGCAGTGCTGCATCCTGCATTCCAGCTCCACGGCATGGCGGACCTAGGCCTCCTCCCATCCGTCTTCGACAGTCATGCCACTCGCACCGGAACCCCATGGGTTGCAATCACTGCATCAACCGCTATCACCATCGTCGTCTCCTTCCTCGGTTTTGACAACATTATTGCAACATCGAACTTCCTATATAGCATGGGCACGCTGCTCGAGTTCTCGTCCTTCCTCTGGCTCCGAGTCAAGTACCCAACACTGAAGCGCCCTTACCATGTGCCTCTGCCACTGCCCGCGCTCATGGCCATGTGCATTGTGCCATCGGTATTCCTTTCTTACGTGTGCGTGGTTGCCGGGTGGAGGGTATTCACCATTGCTGCAGGGCTGACCGCGCTCGCTGTCGGGTGGCACGGCCTCATGAGGCTTTGCAGTTCCAAGAAGTTGCTCAGTTTTCGCGTGCCCGAATCATCGGGTTGATTCATTCCCTGCAAGTTCCATTGTCCACAACACTCACATAGTATATCTTGAAGTGAGTATTAATACCCGGTAGAACTAGTAGGGTGATTCACGCATTTGCACAACAAGAACTAAACGTGTCGTATATTTGATATTTTTTGTCTAAAATATATTAGGTCCCATCATAAATTGTTTGAAATATAGCTAAAATGCATAAAGATAAGTGCACTTTCGATTTTTATTTCACCCACACTTTGGACTTTTTTTTCATGAAGTGTATCGAATTGTGGTTTGGATAAACAATAGCATAAGTAACGTTGCAGTCAATTAGTTTGTTTATTTGTGTAAGACAGATTGTACATATATCTGTTATACCCTTGGTGTAATCTTCCAATCAATAATCTTTTGAGAAAAATCAAAAAAATATCAAATCCAAATATTTGATAGCTCATACATGGGCTAACATATCTCCGTATCTACGTGTATTTCCTTCGATGTAGTGCATTGTCTTTCTCGATAGGTATACAATTAGCCATCCAGGTTTTGACTGCTGGATGTGTTAAGAGTAGTTCAGCCTTCAAAGACTATATGTAATCCCAGACTTCCAATATTTGGATTGTGGTCGGTTGAATGATGGCCATCTAAGTTGTTTCAAGTCATTACTTTAAATATTTAGGTTGATATCGCTACTGCCTGAAGGACATGCTACTCTGTCTGCTCCTCATATTTTTTGGACGAAAATAGCACTGCGCCCACTGCTCCTCATATTTTTTTGTTAAAAGTAGTCATGATCCCATATAATTTTTTTGTGCAAATCAATATACATTTTTGGCTTCAATTAAAAGCTTTATGAATGATATAATCTTTGAACAGTGTTATATAATTGTAGCACTTCATTTTCTCATGATTCAAATAGTTTTATGGAACTGCATTGCTTAGTGAATCTTAATAACCCATCCCGCAAACTTGACCGAAATCCATGTCAATTATTAAACTCTTGAAAGTTAAAACAAATCCATAAAATATGGTAAATGTGAGACATATAAGTGAGCTATGCCAAACCGAAATAACGTAACATCAAAGTGCATTAATAAATAAGTTAATCATCGTACAAGCTTTTGTTTGGCATGCTTATCACTAATAGGCAATGAAACTATTGAAATGTCCAAAACATCCTACTAACTAATGTCAATGCATCAATTTGTCCAACTACATATCCTTATGTCCCTTTTGGTCATAGGTAACATTTCTATTATTGGAGAAATGATTGGTGTAGGTATTTCATCACCTGCTAACTAGGTATCGAATCCTAGATTTGAGTAAATGTCTTACAAACACATATTATTCTTTCAGTTGTTTATGTGTACACATAATATTTAATTGCAATCTTATGGCTCGAAAAAAGTAGCAACAATTAAGGATTGTAGGCATAAGTATTGCATTTTGTGCAAGACTATACTGGTTTTTTATTCTATTTGGACTCCTCACATGGTTCCCTATTATATAAAAACAGTATAAATAACAACTAAATGAACAAGATGTCCAAAAACATTCGGTTCTTGGTAACAAACTCCTCTGTTGGCACTCATGTTGGTGGCTACTCACTCCTCGGTCATTTTTCTAATTATCACCCTTAAAGAAGTTTTGTGCATTGCCAATATTTCTAATTATCACGTAATATAGGATGATAATATGTATATTTATATTGGCTATAACATACATCCAAACTAATTCTGTTTCTGAAAATAACAAAAGGAAGTATTGAATATATTTTACAAATATCAAGTTATATTGATTTTTTCTCTATAATATGTTTATGCAGTTAGTCCTCGAGCTGCAAGTACACCAACCAGACTAATCGCCGTATGCGCGCCCTCTACATTAGTTGTTGTATCCTCTTGGCATAGGTCTATATGTCTTGTTGTGATTTCCTGAACACTATAGAAAGTAATCCGTTTATGTCCCTTTATGACCTCCCATTATAAATCTGGTTTGCATTTGAAATTGGATTTGTTATTTACAAAGAAGAATTAAAATAAATGAGCAGCACGCCCTTATTCATTTACTTTCATTACTTAATGTTCCTTTACATACTCCTCTATTATGCTCATGTTGTCGTTAGTGGCTCCCTAATTATTTTCTTGTGCGTGTTGCCCCTAAGGAATTTTGTATGTTGTCAATAGTACTAATTGTGTACTAAGATGATAATAGGAAAATTTTCACTCATATTGGTATCGATTGTACTAATTTTCTAATTGTTTATCTATCCCTTGCATTTAAATTAGTATTGGTGTATGTGGTAGGAAGTATCTACAACTTGTAGTCGTGGTTTAACATGTGCACTTACAACAAGTTCATGTGAGATTTGAAAGAGTGGAGCTCTGGTGACCTATTAGAGGTTAGCTCAATAAGGCGTGGACATGATAAAATGTATTTATTCCAGTCGGTTCAGATGTACCGCCGTTGAGAATGCACAATCCATTGCCAGGGCACTCGTGCCATCCATCCAGCACATGTCATATGGATTTTTGTGTAGTTCGTACACATAAATGCAATATAACCGACAATTGAAACATGTAAGAGGGAGAAGATGAACATGGAATTCTTGTGTAGTTTTTCTGATATTGTGAGAAGTGAGGGATGAACGTATATAGTGTTCGTGGTAAATGCGGCACGGATCCAACTCTTATTGGGCACTAGTGGATGTGGACGTCATGATCTTTCCGGTTTATAAGGCTTGCGGGTATCCCTAGATCTATAAGTTCACCAACATAAGATAAGTTGTATAGTCCAAAAATTATACCATTATAATGTATATGATTTCATGTTTGTAATGATTTTTTTGTGATATATAACTTGTATTACAATTGGTCTATTAGTCAAATTAGAGATACATGCAAGCCTTTTAAACCGGAAATGAGGTACTACCTACTTCACTCGCGTGCATGGGCTAAGTTAATAATTTAATTATTTCACCAACCAATCATCGGGCGGAACTGCCATCCGTCTGACAATTAGTTGTCACATCATTGTATGATGGTCAATCAATCCACTGATGAGCTACATAGCTGAAGTTTATGTTAGACTATTCTTTGGATCCCAAGTTTCCTAGTCCAAGTCGGTTTGTAATATCTAGTCTAAGTTGGTTTGTGCCAATATATGTAGCCATGCACCCTGTTCCAAAAATAATACAAGCAATAGTTTTATCCATCTATCATGGTATCTGTTTTTCGACCCTAGAGTTTAGGGTATGGCTCCGCCCACCCCACCACCGCCGTCGCCGCCCGGCTACTTCGAGCGCCGGGCTGCTATCATCGCCAGAGCCGCCGCCACAGCGGCCTCTTTTCCTCTACTCTTTCCCTAGCACCACCAAGACCTCCTACTACTCTTCTGGTTGCACCCATGTCGCTCGCCAACACCATCCGTTGTCAGCCCTTTCATCCACATCGTCCTCGACCTCGATGTCCACAACTATTATCATAGGCGCCACCTCTTTGATCTACACCTGGGATGCTGCAACTTCCGCTCTCATGTCGCCGCCAACAGTCCTCCTCGCCCTAATGATCCTCAATGGGTGAAAGACGATCTCGCGATTAATCAGTGGTTCTACACCTGCATCACCACCGAGATCTTCAACATGCTTGATCACGACGGCGCCACGGCCGCCAATATCTAGGGCTCTCTTCACCAACTTTTTCAGAGCAACATCGACGGTCGAAAAATGCTCTGCACACCGAGCTTCGTAACATGACCCAAGGCGATGCCCCATTAAATCTTTTCTGTCAGCACGTCAAGGCCATAGGCGACGAGCTTCGCGAATTCGGTGATCCCGTCAGGGACACACAGCTCATCAACATCATCGTCGTCGGGCTAAGCGAGGATTTTGACAAACATGCCTCCTTCATCCCAATGATGCGGCTTCCTCCAACCTTTGCCGATTACGATGCCATAACTTGTGTTTGCAACTAGCACAACGCTCACACAAATGAGCATGCGACGGCTTCGATGCATTTTCATTAAACACAATTACGATGCCATAATTTGTGTTTGCAAATCAATCTAAATTTGTTGGCTTCAATTAAGATTTTAGCTAGGCTTTATGAATTGTATGGGTAGAAATGCAAGTTATGAGTCTTAGGGAGTTCAATTTGTTAGCACATAACATATATATCGGTCTTTTTCAAGTGATTTTTTGGGAGGATAAGCCTCAACATTGTCTGGCTTTCGCACTATCCTCATTTCCATGTTCGATTAAGCTACACTGAGTTTGAAATAAAAAATTATTGATAAACTGGGGAAAAAATTGGGACCCCAAAATTAACTCTAATAGACACATACATCAAAGTCTAATGGGCAAATGAGTTGTGGGCTTCTTCCAACATCAAAAGCACATGAATGATGGTTTCATCTTTGTGAGAAGTTTTTTCAATCATGGTTATTCGCACCACTTTTTAATCGATAAATATGCATTTAATTAATTGGTGGTATGATTGGATTATATCCTCTTATCTCTTAGAAGGTAAGCAAGAGTGTCTTATAATTTCTCATAATAGTTGTACCAGAACTAAAGATGGAAACACTCCTCTAAAGGATTAGAGATAGAAGCTGATTGAGACCTTGGAGCACTACTGAAATTGGTTCGTTATCACCTTTGAGCTACACCGGCATCGAATCAAAGATCGGGACAGACAGACAAATGTATAATATATGACATGTGAAATTCCAAATAAAATAAAATAAAATATGTTTGTTGACAGAAATATATCTTCCTTATGAAGAAATGACAGAAATATATCCTCTTTTTTTAGTATGAACCAGCAACCTTATGTCTTTATATTTTACATTAATCTAAAAAATATGAACGTGCCAAATATATCCGTTAACAATATCTAGGAGAACACGATTTCATACATGACCATCGTCTAAATTTATTTGTAGGATTTTTGCATGTATTCCCATCCCTTTACATCTGTGTATGTCAAAATTTTCTTACCTGCCACGATTAGTGTGAAGCTCGCCTG